ATCTGGGGGGGGAGGGGGTGCTGGGGTCCCGCTGGCCGGGGCTTTTATCTTACCCCTTTCACCAGGCGCTGGGCTCTCACATGTGTCTATGTAGTCAGGCTGTTGTCCTGTGTCTTCTGGTCTCTCTTTTAGGATTAGTTGTATTTGTTGTATTTTCAAAAATATATATGTTTTTGGGAGGAGATTCCCACTGTCCTACTCACGCCGCCATGTTGGCTCCGCCCCCACTCTGTCATTTTTAACTTTTTTATTGTTTTCAATTTTTGTATTCAAATATATAAAAATAAAAATACCTTCCTTTTCAGTATAGTCAGTATTTCTGTCATTTTAACAAGGGCCTTAGCCTACAATGAGTTTTAATGAAATACTTGCTATATTTTCTTCTAGTACATTTAGTTTCACTTTTTAAATATAAAGTTTTCTAAAACATCTAGAATTCTGTGTGAAGGTTGCCAGTTATTTGAATGCAATACTGAATACTCCATGCTTTTTCAACTAATTTGAAATGCCACCATAATCATTAATTAAATTTTTACATGTGTCTGATTCTGTTTCTGGTCTATTCCATTTTATTTGATTCTGGCACCAATACACTATACTACCTGAATCACTGTAGCTTTAAAATAAATGTGATTATCAGCAAAAGTAGGCATCTTCTCTCAGTAGTATCTTTTAGACATTTCTCACATTTTACTTATAGATGATTTTCAAAAAGCAAGCATATATAATACTATGCTTAAAGAATAAAGAAAGAACAAAGAAGAAGCTCTTATTATAGACAGGCCTTCAAACTTCTACCAGGATATATGCACAAGAATTCAGTAGATATGTTTTAAACTTACTCCAGTTGCCACTCGAGTATTTCCTGATAGGGGTCGTATTCCAGAAGGAGGCCTTCCCATCAACCCAATTCCACCTCGTGAAACAGGGCGAGCTGCTGAAGGTTTGTGATTACTTGCCATTGTTTGATCACTTTAACCACTGTTTGGAAACAAGGAATAGTTCAGTTATCCTTTGGTACTTTCTATAGCAAGACAGCAGTGATCCAGGCATCCTATCTTCAAACATCCAATCCATGGTGACTTTTCTTGGGAACTGCCATTCCAGGTACTACTACAAGAGTAAGTTTGCTTTAATTTTATTCAAATTTGATGCTACAGTTCCATTTAAAACCATGGAATTATTTACTAAAACATGTCTTCTTCATTTCCCTATTATCTTATCAAAATGCAAACCCCTCTGAGTTATCTCTCCTGTGGTCTCACTCCACACACTATAGTTCAAAGTTTTTTCTTTGCAGGCCTATCCAGCATCTTTCTTCTTACCCAATCTTTCCTCTGTGCTTTTTGGCCTATGATTAACTCTCTTATAATTCCAGTCCTGTTATCAAATACTTCCTTTTACACTTCAACAGAATCCTGGCTTCCCCTGAAACACTTTCAATAGTGAAGGCTGTTTTAGCTTCCTGTTCCACAGTTCCAAAGCAAAGAAGGAGCGTTCAGCACTCTCCTTGCTCTCCAATGCCAACACTTAAAGCATTACTCTCCCAAGTTTTTTGTTTTTAAAAAAAAGGATTCTCTTCCTTATAACCTTGGATCTTTTCTGGCTGCCATTATTTATGGACCTCCGGATCTCTCCTAATTCACTTCCTCGAGCAAGGGAAACAAAAGCAAAAATGAAGTCTTTTGTACCTTGTTCACAGTCTCTCTACTCCAGTCCCAACAACATCCTGCATGACTTCCATGTGGATAATGGATTCAATACCTACCATTCTAGCTTCACAGTTGCCTAACCTAAATTTCAGTAACCATCAACTCCATTTCAGTCATTCAGATCTGTGGCCAGACCTGGAGCTTGTCATCATTTGCAATTACTTCATCTCAAATATCTTAATTGAAATACTTTACCCTCAATACCTTAATTGAAATACCTTAATTGAAATACTTTAATCTCCTTTCCTTCTATCCCTGTCTCTTCTTCAGCCTCACCACACCTCCCTTTATACCACTTCCTTAATTAACTCACTCTCTCCCAGTTTATCAGCCTCCACCTTTACTCATCAGAATATAATATTTAACTCTCAACAAAGTCAGTATAGAGGGTAAGTACCTCAACATAATAAAGGCCATATACATGACAAACCCACGGCCAACATCATACTTAACAGCGAGAAGCTGAAAGCCTTTCCTTTAAGATCAGGAATAAGACAAGGATGCCCACTCTCCCCACTTTTATTGAACATAGTTCTGGAGGTCCTCGCCATGGCAATTGGACAACACAAAGAAAAAAAAGGCATCAAGATTGGTAAGGAAGAAGTTAAACTGTCACTGTTTGCAGATGAGATGACATTGTACATGAAAAAACCTAAAGAATTCACCCAAAAACCACTAGATCTAATATCTGAATTCAGCAAATTAATACACAGAAATCTGTTGCATTCCTACACACTAGGAATGAACAGGCAGAAAGAGAAATCAGGAAAACAATTCCATTCACAATTGCATCAAAGAGAATAAAATACCTAGGAATAAACCTAACCAAGGAAGTGAAAGACCTATACCCTGAAAACTACAAGACACTTATGAGAGAAATTAAAGAAGATACCAATAAATGGAAACACACACCAAGCTTATGAATAGGAAGATTTAGCATTGTTAAAATCAACATTCTGCCTAAAGCAATCTACAAATTCAATGCTATTCCTATCAAAATACTGACAACATTCTTCAATGAACTGGAGCAAATCATTCTAAAATTCATATGGAACCACAAAAGGCCCTGAATAGCCAAAGCAATCCTGAGAAGGAAGAATAAAGCTGGGGGTAATACACACCATAATGTTTGGTACTGGGACAAGAAAAGAACAATAGACCAATGGAACAGACTAGAGAGCCCAAATACAAACCCAACCATATATGGTCAATGAATATATGATAAAGGAGCTGTGGACACACAATGGGGAAATGACAGCCTCTTCAACAACAGGTGTTGGCAAAACTGGACAGTTACATGTAAGAGAATGAAACTGGATTATTGTTTAACCCCATACACAAAAGTAAACTAAAACTGGATCAAAGACCTAAATGTAAGTCATGAAACTATAAAACTCTTAGAAGACGACATCAGCAAAAACCTCCTGAATATATACATTAGCAACTTCTTCCTGAATGCATCTCTTGTGCAAATGAAAAAAAAGCAAAAATGAGCACATGGAACTACATCAAACTAAAAAGCTTTTGTACAGCAAAGGACACCAACAACAGAACAAAAGGGCATCATACAGTATAGGAGAATATATTTGTAAATGACATATCCGACAAGGGGTTAACATCCAAAATATATAAAGAACTCATACGCCTCAATACCCAAAAAGCAAATAATCCTATTAAAAAATGGGTGGAGGATATGAAGAGATAATTCTCCAAAGAAGAAATTCAGATGGCCAACAGACACATGAAAAGATGCTCCACAACACTAATCATCAGGTAAATGCAAATTAAAACCACAATGAGATATCATCTCACACCAGTTAGGATGGCCAGCATTGAAAAGACTAAGAAAATGCTGGTGAGGATGCGGAGAAAGGGGGACGCTCCTACACTGCTGGCGGGAATGTAAGCTAGTTCAACCATTGTGGAAAGCAATATGGAGGTTCCTCAAAAAACTAAAAATAGAAATACCATTTGATTAGGGAATCCCACTCCTAGGAATTTACCCAAAGAATACAAGTTCTCAGATTCAAAAAAACATATGCACCCCTATGTTTATCGCAGCACTATTTACAGTAGCCAAGATATGGAAGCAACCTAAGTGTCCATCATAGATGAATGGATAAAGAAGTGGTACATATATATACACAATGGAATACTATTCAGCCATAAGAAACAAATCCTACCATTTGCAACAACATGGATGGAGCTGGAGGATATTATGCTCAGTGAAATAAGCCATGAGGAGAAAGACAAGTGCCAAATGATTTCCCTCATTTTTGGAGTATAACAGTGAAGCAAACCTGAAGGAACAAAACAGTAGTGGACTCACAGACTCCAAGAAGGGACTAGTGGTTACCAAAGGGGAGGAGTGTGGGAGGGCAGGTGGGGAGGGTGGGAGAAGGGGATGGAAGGATATTATGTTTAGTACACATGGTGTGGGGGGTGTCACGGGGAAGATAGTATAGCACAGAGAAGGCAAATAGTTAATCTGTGGCATCTTACTACTGATGGACAGTGACTGCAATGGGGTATGGGTGGAGACTTGACAATATGGGTGAATGTAGTAACCACATTGTTTTTCATGTGAAATATTCATAATAGTGTATGTCAATAATACCTTAATAAAAATATTTAAAAAATAATAATAATAAATAAATAAATAAATAGACTTAATATTTAAAGTTTTGGTAATTTAGAATAGCATTTTTCAAATTGTAGGTCATGACCTCTTAGAGGGTTGTGAAAAGAATTTGGCAGGTTCTGAACCAATATGCTTTGAGGATGACATAACGGAAAATGAGAGTTCACTGCACATAGCAAAGTATCGTTTCATTAAATTTATGCTTCAGTTATCTTCATATAAATTTACAGATATGTGTGTATTGGCCTGTAATGCAAAATGTATGTCCTATTTAGGTCATGTTCAGAAGAGTTCTAAAAATACTGAACTAGAGACAGTTGGTGAAAAGTGCTCAAGACTGACTTCACTGATGTCAATACATGCACACACAGAAGAGGAGAAACTAGTAGACTGAAGATGAAGACCCAAAGGACACAGCAAAACCAGAGATGTCAGAGATGCCAAGAGAAGTCATTTACTGATGGGAATTCAAGTAAGATGAACACTGAAATGTCCAACGGAATTCCCATTGAAGAAGCCATTAATGACTTTGGTAAGGGCAGTTTCAAGGACACCTTTCTTCCCTTTTCTACATTGAACTACTGCCTCATGAGCATCATCAACAAATTAGTACCCTTAAATTCATCTGGAAACATCAGAAACCCTTTATACTCAACCTGGACTGCTGAACATTGCTGGCGGAAATTCCAATTCTTAACTACTTTTCTACCTAGCCTCTGTTCCTCCCCCTCTCAGCAGATGACTTAATTTCCCACTAATCCAAGAAAATCACAACTAGAATCCATCACATTTGGAGCATACAAACTTACCCATATTCACCATGCCATGCATTCTCAATTGCCATCTCTTCTTTTATTCAGTATCAGTCTCTATTTTGATTTATCTTCTTGATTTCATCTTGTCTGGAACATTAGCCTCCCTCTCCTTGCCCCCACTCTCCATCTCCTTTGGGGCATTATCTTATTCTTGCCTGTATCTTTCAACTTCCTTCTTTTTTTGAGTCTGTTAATATGGTCAGTTCTTTCCTAACCATAAAAACTAATTTCTTGATCCTGAAACCACCTTTAACTTTGTCTCATATATCCTTTTCCTATACAGCCAAACTCTGAATAGCTTATATCCACAATTCTCTACTTTTTCAATTTCTACCACCTCCTGGACTCCTACACTGAAATGTCCCCTGCCAATACAGCTGGGAATTTAAATGTCATCTCTCCATTACTGGTATCTACTCCTACATGAAACTGTCTCCATGACACTCCCCTCTTCTGGTTCTCCTTTTTTAGTTTCCTTCATTTATTCTACTTGCCCTTACTAGCAGCACTCCTCAAGATACCATCCACAGTCTATTTTTGTTTTTTCTCTTTAAGCTTTTTTGGGCCACCTCATCTACACTCCAGGTTTTAACAATAAACTGATGATTCACAAATTTGTATCCCCAGCCCTGACCTCTCACAGTCTGAGGTGGTTATACCCAAATAATTACTTGATATTTCCACTCAGATGTCCCATGGATATTTCAAATTAAATATACATAAATGTAAGCTCACTGCCATCTCCCCAAAATTTGCTTTTCCTCTGGGTACCACCTCCTAGTCACATAAATCAAAAGCCTAGTCTTTGATTTCTCCCTCACCCTCATTTCCCATAACTAATCACATAGCCCTACTGATTTTATTCCTAAATGTTTAATGTGTACCTTCCTCTCTATTTCCATAGCACTGTTCACAGCCTCACGGACTCATTGGATTATACTGGCCTCCTAACTAGTCCTCTTGCCTAACACACATCTTGCCTGTTATATTCCCTATGAACCTTCCACAACCAGTTCATAACCACCCCCACTTTCTCCAATTTCAGTTTACAGGCCTGTCCTATATGCTACCATGCATCTGTGCATACCTCTATCCGAGTACCTATTACAACAACTGAAATGATCTGCTTGAGTATTTCTGTCCCTTGAGGGCAAGAGCTGGATCTTATTCTGTATATCCCCAGCATCTATTTCAGTGCCAGACAAAAACTGTCTGTTCTCTTTCGAGTCTTCTAAATTTCCTCCCACATGAAGGCATTTCCGATTATAAAAATTCATGAAATTATTAAAAACCAAACAAATCATTCCTTGAACTAAAATGGTTTTTCACTTTTTATAGCCCATACCCAGAGCTTCTCTGCCTTTCCTTAGCATCACTCATGATCAGCATCTCTTGGATTGCTTTTCTTCTATCTTTCATTCTTTTCTTTAACTCCAACTATGCTAAAGATTCATGGATCAGTGTCTCCAGTTCTGTCCTTTAAACTGGGCACCAGTTCTCCATTTTCAACTGTTTACCGGAAATTCCTACTTAGATATCCCATTATCACTTCCTATTAAATATGTTCACACCAAATTTACAATCTTCCCATTTCAAATAGCTCTGTGATTCTATTTTCCTGTTTCTAACTGTGCAAACTAACATAATTATTACTATTGATTATTATTATTTGAAATGGAAAAAGGAGTTTCATGAAATGACTGTTGAAAGGCACACAAGATCTATGATGAAAATGGGTCCCTCCTAAAGAAAGTTCATACAATAAACCTTTGTTTCCAGCATGATTAGTCAATGTTAATCTAACTTTCCCGATAATTTTAAGAAAATATACAATATATATAATTTCCACTTAAACTGTCTTTGCCTGCTTTACTACCTGAGGGGGGGAAGTTTAGCATTAGATCAGTCTCGGGATGAAATAAATGTGAGTGGCACTTGTAACAAATATGCGACTAACTCCAGAGTTATTGACACAATCTCCTGGGTTAGTCATACAATCATAGAGGCAGCATGGCCTCTGGTTCCACAAAGATTAGGGATACAGCCTTTAGCTCTGACAATTACCAGCCATATAATCCCCTCTGGATGTGTTTCATCAATGAAACGCAAGTGCAGCAATGAACTGTATCTTGCAGAACTGTTAGGAAGATCACAGATAATTTCTATAAAATACCTGGCTTCTAATTATTACCTTTATTATCCTCCCTCAACAAACCATTTTTACACATATGAAGTGGAAAAGTTGATAAATCCCTTCCGCTACCACAAGACAGAAATCTATTTTTCCTTTGAGTAAAATCCCGCAGCCCGGACTGAATTTTCTTTGGGGCTCTTGGATTCCTCCCTCTGTTTATCGCCTTGGCAAGTCTCCTCAGGGACCGAGGAGGTTTCTCCTCACGGTTCGCCAGACTAGAGTTGGAACTTTCCTGGTCTAGCGACAGGCCTGAGAACAGCTAAGAGGTGGAGAGTTTGCATTTGTTTTTTCAGAGCGGATTAGCATCTCCAAGGATAGAAAACCGACCGACTCGGGAGGGACGAGGGATGGACAGATGGGACCTGGGATTTCTCACCTCCGCCGCCGCGCGGAAGGAGGTTAAGTGGCACCGCACAGGGGTACTCGAATTTCTTTCCGAAGCCGTCACCACCCTGGAGCTCACGAGGCGACCCCGCGTAGCCTCTAGTTTTCTCCTTCAATACTCCCTGCTATCCCCCACGGAGTTTTCCCTCAGTCCTAACCACTAGCGGCAGCGCGCCGCCTCGTATCCCGGCAACAGGGGCGGGACAGGGAGAAGTCCTTCCTCCTAATTGGCCAATCCTAGGCCTCAGTTCCTGTAGGCTTCGTACCTACAAACGGAGCAAGAATGAAGTGTTCTCGCGATATTTGATAGCTAACTTTGGTTTTTCCCTTGCAGGAGTGTTTTTGTGGAAGGAATGGAAAATAGTGAGTTGGCTAGAAAGGAATAATTGGAAAACTTCTGTTTTATTTATGATCAGTGTAGCCTTTCTGATTGTTTGCCTCACCCGAACTCACTCCTAGCGAGTTTTTTTATATTGCTGTGTAACTTCACATCTGCTAGAGTGTGACTTTTTAATAAAAATTTTTTTTTATTATGTTAGTCAGCATTGTACATTCTTCACATCTAATCAGTGGTAGTTTCACTTCCAGTTAAGAATGGGCAACGTACGTAAAACAACGGAAGTATGATGTGATTCTGAAAACCATCTTTCTCCTTTCATAGGAAGCTTCATATCTTTAAGCTTCCTTTCAGAGTTCTTTTGACTTTGTGAGGACGGCTGAATTAAATGGAAAGTGGTCTTAACAACTATTTTAAAATAAGTGTTTAAAAATAAAGAACTACTTCATTTCAAATCCTACCTCTAATAAAAGTGCAGTTTGTTTTCTTCAGTCTTCCTGTAGACAGAGCTTACATGTGATTGCAGCTATAATCCTAACATACATACATAATGGATTTATAACATTTTCACATTATTTCCAACTTGCATACATTATTTATATACAGTTTATTCCCTTATATTCGTGCCTTAAAGTAGTTCAAATTCTAGGCAATAAAAAAATGAAATACTATCTATCATGTGTCTTGAGTTTCCACTTAGAATCTGTAAAGGTTCGATTTTCAGGTAATAATCCCAATTGAGACCAACATATCTGTAGTGGCCACTTGTTATCCTTTTGGTCACTGTAGTGAAGGGTGATAAAATTTGCAAAGCCAAAATACGCCACTTTGGTATAAGAATTATTTTGAGCTAAAGGCTTTCTCTATCATTTCACTGTTTGCCTAAAAGCAGGACAGAAATTTTCAAAGGTGTGCCTCCTCGACTCTCTTGTCAGAAAGAACAACTTAATTATCAGAGAACTTTAGAGCCTTTACCAGCCTGCAGAGGACACCGGAAAAATGTACACAACTTCACTAACCAGTCTGTATCTACTGCGTTTCCCATGTATTTACCTTCACATAATTTGCTGCCTCTAAAGACTTAAGCTGTTTTTGTTTTGTTTCTTCCATAATAATTTGTTTATATACTGTACAAACCCAAGCTCGTCACCTCTTTTGAGTACTCATCACTGAGTTTTTCTCTTGTATACACGAGATCTGCGTGTATATAAAATTTTCTATTATTAATCTTTTGTTACAAAGCCCCAGCAGAAAACCTGTAAGGGTATGAAGAAATTTCCTTCCCTACAACCTTTAAACGCTCAACCAGCCCTTTCGTTGTCTCAGAAGCTACTGACGTTATCAAGATTTCTCCCTTAGTTCCTTTATATGAGAGGGGGACCCAACATTTGTCACGTGTATACACAGAGTTACGAGAAACTTTTTGCTTTAAATGATTCCTCAACAAAATATTACAATATTTTTAAAGTACCAGGAACTCAGTTTAGTCTTCACAGGATTTAAGGCGACTGTTTACAATCTGACCCCAGGAGCTCTCGTTTTCAATAAAAAAAACTTTAGTTTGTCAAAAATCTCAGGAGACTACGCAGAGATTTGAAGAAATCGGGGTAAAGCAGCCCAATCAGGACAGTCTGCACAATATCTCTCAACCACAAGACAGCGAGCAGCCCTACGTCCCAAGATTTAAAATATCCGGATTCAGCGTGACTGTGGCTCACGCCTCACTGGCGTGCGGGATTCTGGGATTTGTAGTCCTGGACCCAATCGCTTATGAAACAGTTCGGCCAGGGCTGGGAAAGGACCGCGGCTTGGAAGGGACTCGAACCGGGGTTCCCGAGCAGAAGGACCCGGCGCGGTATCTCCTTCTCCGCCGCCTGTCCAGAGAGCAGGAGAGAAGCGAGTCTGAGATTCGCGTCGCCCTCAGCCGTCGGGACGCACACACTCTACGTCATGGCGGGCTGAGGCCGATGATGACTTCCGGTGTGTATGTCAGGGTTGCTGTGTCACTCGGCCCGCTCGGCGCTCCTCTTCTCCGTCACCCTTCCGCACCGGCTCTCAGGCTCTTCCGGTCTTCAGCTGCCCCTTACTTGCAGCCCCCCTCTCACTCTGCGCGCCGGCGCACGCCCGGCCTTCCCCGCGAGCCGATCTCGCGCGGTGCCCGGATTCCGGGCGCCGTACAGACTAGGGCCATGGCGAGTGGTGTCGCCAGGTACCGGCTGAGCTGCTCGCTCCCGGGCCACGAATTGGACGTGCGGGGCCTGGTGTGCAGCCTCTATCCTGCGGGAGCCTTTGTGTCGGTGTCCCGAGACCGCACTACTCGCCTCTGGGTCCCAGACAGGTGAGCTGCGAGTCCGACTAGACCCCGCCCAGGCTGTGTTGCAAGCTTTCTAACTCTGTGAGAAGAATGACCCTTTCCTGCTCTGTCCTGCCTCCTCTCTTTTTTTCCGGCCTGACCTCGGGTCAGAGCGTTCCTCCAATTCTAAGAACACTGGCAGTCTGGTCGCACAGTGTAAGAAACCGGTGAGATTTAAGTAGACAGAGCATCGATTGGGAAACAGAGACCTACTTTCTTGCCCTAACTGACCACTAACGAGTGGGTGACCTTGGACGAACCTCCTACCTTTTGGGACTTAAGTTTTTGGACGATTATTTCCCATATTTCTCTAAGATTTGAAAATTTATTGACGCCAGGTGCACCCTCCTCCTAAATGAGGCAGTGTGAAAGCATGTAATTAAAGTAAGTCCTTTTTTTCATAGAATTTGCTCAGTTTAAGTCTTCCCTTAAATTTCCTTTTTCATACATTGCTGGAAGTTGCATTGGCTCCTCTCCTCGTTGTGTAAATCAGAGGTTCTTAATCTGGGATCTGACAAGCTTGAGTGGAGGGGATGAAACCCCTCAAATGTATGGATATGTGGGGATGTGCCGTTTTCTTGAGAGAAAGTTCATTGCCTTAAAAAAGATTGCCTGAGAGAATAACCAGAAAAGAATACAGAACAAACTGTTAAGTTTCAAGTTAAAAGGTTCAGCCCTAATTTGGCCTGTTGTAACAAGAAATGTACAGTCTGGAATACAGATTTCAGTTCAGAAAGAAAAATTGAAGTGAGTTGCTTTATGTATTAAGTCTCCCATTAGTAGAGGTTTGTTTCACCCAAAGTGTGGTTAACCAACCATAAATTAAGATGTTAAGTATTTATTGAGTGTCTCCTATTTGATTGTGATCCTGAAGAAGAATAAGAGGACAGACAAGTTTTCTGTGTTTATAGAGCGTTCTTACAGTCTGGGAGTGAAGTTGGATCAGAAAACAAGCATATATATAATTACACATTGGCATGTGTACTATGATAAAAACAAATACAGAACTGAGTGGAGAGAGAAGTTAAAGGAAGCCTCCCTTTTTTTGAGAAAGGTCTTTTGTTTGTTTTAAAGTTGGCATCAGGAGGGAGCTGTTCTTGGGAGCAAGGTATGAGGAGAGTTGACCTGGAAGAGCACTGTAGGCCATAGTAGCAGGAGCAAAGACAGAGGTCCAGGATTGAGGGGGAAATTTCCCGTGTGCAGGAGGGAATGAGCTGTGAGGTGAGGGCCGGTCTTAAAGTCTGGCAGGAGCCAGGTCATGCCCAGGTAGAAGGTCTGAAGAAAGGAGATGGTAGGTAGAAGCCTTCAAGGAGTTTCAAGCAGGGAGCAGTGTAATTTGCTTTACCTGTTGAGAAGTTTCTACTAGCCACTGGTGAAGAATGGATTAGAAAGGGATAAATGTCGAAGTAGATCTATTTGGAGGCTTTTGCATCCTTATTGAATTGTATGAGATGTCTTCTAAAGGTCTATTTTAATTATAAGAGTCTGCAATATTCCAAACTGTTTAGGGTAACACTAAAGCATAACTTTTTGTGTGTTTGGGTACAATTCCTAATTAAGCATGTACCTTTAAAAATGAGTTCAGTGAAAACATATGCCTGGTAGGATATAAATATTGAAGTAAGGAGTGTCTATAGGATACCTGTTGTAATAGTTGAATCCTGTCATTACATGTAGACATGTTTTGTAGGCCTGTGCTTAATTGACAAGGGCATCTGTCACTGGAGTAGCTGTATTACCAGGAGCTTGGGGAACTTTCTCAAGCTGAAATCATTCTCCATTTGAAAATGGGTTCTTGTCATGTAACTTGGTTTTTGGTTTTGTTTCTCGAAATTCATTCATGTAGTTACTCGGCTAACACTGATGGAGAGCCTGCATTGTGCTGGCCCAGGGCTAGATAATGGGTGATAAGTGATAAGAGTTTTACTTCTCATTTCCTGCTGTCCGGGGAAGAGCATCTTAGTCACTGGGTGATGAACCTCTTATGCACACCAATTGGACTGTCTCAGCCATACCTTTATAGTTATAAAAGTGTCCTTAAGATTGATATCCTGACCATTTCTATTTCATAGTGTGTGTGTGCGTGTGTGTGTGTGTGTGTGTGTGTGTGTGTATATATATATAAAGGTACTGGAGTGCTATAAAATGTTTGTGGCCAAGAATGAAAATTGTGTTCCCATGTGCATTGTTGATAGGGGTCTGGATCAGAGTAGTTGATGTAGGGATAGATTTGGAATGATGGGGGGATTTAGTTTCAGGGAGACAGAATTGTTCTAGGGTGGACTAAACTCTAGAAATGATTACTTAGAAAGAGATACCTCATCTTTCACAAAGGCCATTGGAAACCAAGAAATTCTCTGGACCTTCTGAAGGCTGCTAAAATAGAGACATTATTGTTTGGCTGTACATTTAACTGAACCGGTCAACATGCTGTTGTTTTCAGACTGCCACAGGCCTCTATAAACCCACTTCACATTAAATAGAATTTCCCAAA